GGCGTCGCAAGTGCTGCCACCTGTGGCGCTACTAGCAAGCCTGGCCTGGCAGACGCCGCTGCTACCAGGGCGGAGAGAATGATCTGAACATGAATATTAAGAGTTGAATGTTGGCATAGGTTAGATTAATTCGTAAGTACGTTAAATTTTTTTTTTTTTAAAGGGAATCGATACTGGGTTGTGACAATTGATGGTACTATTTACCATCAAAAATGTATACTTTCGCAATGGTAAATTAAATAAATGTTAAATGTTGTTCTAAATTCTAAATTTTTATTTTAAATTTTTCAAGTTTTTGGTTTTATTTATGAGATTAAAAAGCATTATGTACTATTTAAGCGTGTTAAAGAAAAAAATATGTATCAATCGTAATCATTTACCAAGTTATTACGAAAGAGTAATAAATTGTATTCTTTCTTAAAATAGAAAATTTAGTACGTGTAAAAAATTGTGGTGTATATTTTAAATTCATACAATAAGAGTATCATTTTTTAAAAAAAAATTGAAATTTGGAGATTAATTAATTTTATAAATGCAAAATATGATTACAATATAACGAAAAGCAAATGTTATAAATGCAAAACAGAAATTAAATTTTCAATATTGTATATCCTTCTCTTATTTTCCGTGCACATTACCAAAACTGATCTTGGAAGAGACGAAAAATCGATAAAAATCAAAGTGTTCGAGAAACGACAAATACTCACGAGAAATTTCATCTTGTGGACAAACTGTGGCTCCTTGCGCGCTATCTGAGCGTACAGTACTCGCCAAGGTACCTTGGGTCGGTCTCATGGTGTCCACTTCGTCCCCTGGCCTTTATATAGCACCTGGGAGAAAAGGTTTCGCTCCATGGGGCACGCGTCCATCGATGGGAGAACGCGCGAATAGGAAACGCCCTGTGTCCAATAAAATTAACCACACCTGACATTGACATTCGGTCCAATCGATGCCCTCCCCGTCTGAATTCGATAATTTTCGAAACAATCTTCGATTCTTTTTCTCTCTCTTCTTCTTTTTTTTCTCCAAACTAGAAGAACTTTTTGCGCGATTGTTACGAGATTGACGATTTCGATGACCTCGAACTTTTTCAAAATAGACCTCAAAGGTGGATTTGTAATTGAGTTTTTGTCCATTTAAAAGGGAAATCCTGAGATTTTTGTTTAAATTAACGAGATTGGAACGATTGAATTGTTGTTTATCAATTTTATAGATATTTGTTTGATTCTTTTCTTTTCTTTTTTTTTTTTTTGTACGATATAATAGGAGATTATTGGAATTGGATTAATGAGAAATTAAGTGATGCAAAAAATAATAAAAAATTGTGTTTCAATGTTATATTTTTTGATAAAAGCTTCCAGATAGAAATCAGATTTTCATCATGTAAAATATATTACGAAGGTGTGTTGAGAAATTTTGAATTTTCGAAATTTTCGAATTTTTGAATGTTATATATTTTCTCATTGAAAATTTGTTTTTTATTAATTTTAAAAATTATTAATTTGTGAATTATTTATGAAATATTACGTCGAGTTTGAAATCGAATAAAATAAAAAGAAATTCTCTCTTGATTGATTTTTTTAAATTCTCTTAGACAGAATTTATTTTTAATTTGGCTATAAATTAAAATACATACCGGTTTCTAGAGTTAATATTTATGCAACAATAATATGGTAATATCACGCCAGTGCTATAGTATTACAGTTCCATTTTATTATATATTTCGATACCTTTTAATACCGCTACGTTATACTTTCATTATTCTAACAATATTAATTTACTTACAGAAGGTGATAGTTAAATTACTACAAACATCGCGAACATATTAATTTACAAAGAAAAAAAAAAAAAAGATACGAATAATCAATTATTGTTCATTGCAACGTATAATAAATTTTACACTTTTTAAAGAAAATTTAATTACCACTGCATTTCACTAATGAAACTCCAAATTCCCTAAATTTGTAACTAAACACCACTGTCAAATAAATCTCAACAACGACAATCAATAATAAACGTCAATAATCCAATCATCTTATAACAAATAATAAGATGAAATAATG